TCCCTGCTTCTGCCGTGCCTATGGGAGCACTCGGTTCACACCAACAGATCTGAGCGTCCCCGGATGATTAAAGGAAGCTCTGCCTTTTAAATCGCTCTGATTGGGGTTGACGGCTGTGTGGAATTGGACACTTGGCTCTAATGATGTGTGAAAATCTCCCTGCTGTGACCCGTCCTTCCAGCTGTGGAAAATAAGGAGAAAGGCGGAGGAGGGGCATATAAAAACCCTTCAGTGGGAGTCCCAGATCAGACAGAGGTTTGTCAAGCTGGACAGTCCCTCTGGGGCTCTGCTCTATGCCTGTATGAGGCTGGGAGAGGTGGCCCTGGCTCACAGAACTGATGGGGATGTGTGTAAATGTGTCACACGGGTGGCAGCAGATGAATTGGGGTGCTGCTCTAGTGCAGGTCAGCATGACCAAAGCATCTGAACTCCCAGGCAAGGAATGCCTGCCAGTTTCATGGGTGGGCTCCATCCTGGCTCTGCCTGGTCCCACCAATATTCCCATGCTGGTGTTGGGGGATATGATCCCAGTCTGAGGTGCAGCTGGTGTGTGCAGGCTGCCATGGCACAGCTGCGCTGCTGGAGCATTGCTCTGGGCTGTGACTCCTCTGGTGAGACTGTGTGAGCTGGATCCAGCCCCAGGGACAGGCAGGCATGACCAGCCTGCAGCACAGCACGGTGGCTTCAGTCAGGTCCCATGGGCATGGTAAGAATCGTCTCAGTGAGCAAACCACGCTGTCCCTGACACACAGGGGACACCAGCTGACACCTCCTGGGCTTAGTCTCCATCACTGCTGCTGCCAGGGGGCCGGCCAGCAGATCCCTGTCAGCCCAGGCCGTTCAGTGCCTCCTGTCCCCACCACCTTCCCCTGTTATTAAATCCCTGACGACACCTGGATTCAAAGCGAATCTGGCCATACAGAGTCTAATCCTCCCTCTCCAGACAAATTGGCTTCTTAGAGGCCCTCCTCGATGGGATTCACTGTTCTGTTGCAGAGGGGAATGTCCAACTGAGCTCTTAAACAAAGGATGAGTTTCCTCAGGGGCTAAACAGAGGCACGGGGGGGGGGGGAGGCCGGAGGTGTCCTGCAGCGAGTGACCCTCAATGTGACATTGATGGCTCTTAATTCCTAAGCCTGCTTTGGAAGGATTGCAGCAGATCCAATTTAATCACTGCAGCCTCTTCATCTCCCCTGTCTCAGCTCAGGGAAATGTTATGCATTCTCCTCCACTGCTTTTCTCCAAGAACCGGCCACCCTCCTCTCCCTCCAGCATCAGCCCCCCGAGCCCTTCACCTGCTGCACTGTGCGGGGCTGCCTAAACCACGGCTGCCCTCGGCCTGTTTACTACCACACGGCTCCAACAGCATTTGCTTAATTTCCTGTGCCTGTGGGAGGACTCGTTGTGCTAACGAGGGGCACAGCTCCCTGCAGGTGCACCCACCACCTCCCCACAGCCGTGCATAGCATTAAACATTTAAGTGCTTGTCAAAACGTTGTAACTACTTTTTTGTCTTGTTCCATTAGCTCCATTTCCAAAGGCCACCACTGGAACTACTGAACATTTATTTCTATTGAACCCAGCTTAGAAGTTATGATCTGAGGAAGAGGGAGACAGGACAGTATGTTCTGCGGCACTGGCTTTTCCCCACCACCGCTCAGCTGAGACACGCTGGCCTTTGAAATATCATTTTTATTCCTACCTTAGAAAAGCTAAAATAAAGAGATTGACTCTTCCATCTGCTTGATTTGCCTCTGCTGTTTAAACAAGGCACATAAATATCAGTCAGGTGGCTGCCCCATGTAAGTTTTGGGGCTGTGTGTTTAGACACCCCGCACAGTTTGTGGTACCAGCCGTGGGAGCTGGATTTCCTCCCCAGGTGCAAAATAAAGTGTGGTTATTACATGATTTTCCTGTTGCTAGAGAGGCACACACAAGAATCTTCCTCCCTCACTGCCTGTGCATGAACAATGTCTTATTATGCAAATACTAGGAGTATTAGACAAAAAGCACAGAAGAAAGCCAGTGGAGCCAGCAGTTTAGAGGGAGTGGAGCATGGGCGGGGTGGGCTGTGGGGATCAATGATCCCCAGGTTTGCTTTATGTTCACTTTATCAGCAAGAAGTACAGAGCAATAGGGAGTTGCATGGGGCTGGGGACACCTGCAGCCCCCAGGGACATTGGAGAGATGCCCAACATCAGCCCCTGGCCACAGAATCCTGCACCAGGGTCACTGCAGGGCTGAGCTGCCCCACGCAAACCCCACGTTTGCATGAGGGAGCTGGGCTTGCTGCAGGACAAGGAGGCTGCAGCCAACAGCCTCCCCTCCTTCAGGGTGAAAAAAGGGAAATCTAAAGCCTTCTTAAAGACTTCCCTGTGTTTAAGTTCCTTGCTATTTAAAGCCGTGTGAGAGCCCGAGAGTTCCAGCCCGGCTGCCTGTGCCTGGGTGCTTTGCAAAGTTGTAATCCCCGCTAGTGACATCACGGGCTGTTGCCATGGGGATGTCACAAACTCAGAGCTGTGACTTCATCACAGCAGAGATGGGCAGCGAGGGAGGCAGTGCTTCCCAGTGCCTCTGCTAATTAGCAAACTGGCATGGAAAATGAGGATGAAACACACAGGACAGGGACATAAAACCATTTAGCAAGTATCGTCTACTGGAAAGCATTCCCTCATGAGAAAGCGCGTCCTTAATGTATCCTGAGCTCTTAAATAACCCACAAAAGGCAGGGAATAAAATAGAAATTATAGTGATTTGTTTTATTGGGCATTTCATTGAGTAATTAAGAGGGTAATTATGAGAAGGAACATTAAAAGGCGTTACTCTCAGCCTTCATCCTGCTTTAGAGGAGCATCCTCATATTGAATGTGCAGCATCATCCAACACTGTCCTGTGCCAGCTTGGGTTTCCCTGCAGGGAGGAAGGCATGCATGGATGTGGGAAGGGGTGAAAAACATCTCCCCCGTGGCCTGACAGGATGCCAGAGCTCTCCCAAGAAAGGCAGGGTGGGTGCATAGATTGCAGGGAGCAAACCCCACCTTCATGGTGTCTCCTGGCATGTGGTGTCAGGCACCTTGTGCATCATGTGTCGTGCAGGGGGAGGCTAAAGGAAAAACTGGGGATCACTGTGGTGTAAAGTACTGATGGAGCACCACAGCCAAAGCAGAAGGGGCAGAAATCTGGAAATCCAGCTGAAAATTCAGCACAAAGGTGACCCTGCACCACAAGGGCAGCTCTCATCCACCCCCACTTCTAACACCTATCCCCTATTGTGTCTCCTCACCTTTGGAAAATACATACAGAACTACTTGTTTGACTAATCCACATCCAGACAGGACCCAGCACCACCCAGCAGACACAACTCAACCTAAGCTGCCTCTCTAAGACTGCCAGCACTTCCCACAGATGAGGAAGCTTTGGTGCTGGCCAGCACATCCATGAAACACATCAGTGAAACACAGACCTACTCAAGCCCCAGAATCTGCAGCTCCTTTCTGACCCCAGCACGTCTTGCTCCACCCCATTTACCCGCCAGCACAGACACACTCCAACAGAGCGTGGGACATCAGGTCCCACCTCTGTCTGCCTCTGGAGGCCATGTCACATGCTGGGGACTCCAATGCTCACAATACTGCCACCTTCTAAGAGGCCTCAGGTGAAATCCAGCCCCAGCAACAGCAATTTGTCCATGTGAAGTCCCCAGAGGTCACTGCAGGGAGCAAATGTGGTGATAAGGGAATCGCAAACAGGAGTGATGGACACGATGAGGAGCAAGAGCTTTACCAGAAACAACGACTCCCACAGGACAGGCATCTATAAACTCTGAGATGACAGATGAGCTCATTCCCACTATTTCCTCAAACCACTTGCCCAGGTGGCAAAGGAAACAATCAACCCACCTAGATAAACGAGAAACCTCAACCTGCAAGATCTCAGTGCTGACCAGTTACCAAGATTTAAGCAGCCCTTGGGTCCTTGTTTGCTACAAATCATACATTTAGGGAAGCATGCTGGAGAAGGCTGGCATGTTTTAAACTGGCCTCTGTTTTTCTCTCTAGGGAGAAAAACCCTTTTTCCTCCCGAGGGAGATGGATGTGACAGCTATAATCCAGTTGCTATGCTGGATTTCAGGGACAGTGGCTTGTCCATGTTGAGCCCAAAGCATTAGACAACTGTCAGTAAAATCCACATTCAGAGAGTCACCAACCCTCCCTTTTCTTGTCCTGGGAACCACAACTCCCCTCCATACTCCCCTGCTCACGGGGAGCAATTTCCATCCTCTTCAAAAGAGAGTAAAGCCAGCTTTTTGGCTCCTGGCTGGCCCTTCCAGGCACGAGAGCGGCTTTCCGGGAGACTCGAGCGCTCAGCACAGCCCTAAAACAAGGCTCTTGTTTGAAGTGCATGGATTGAGGCTGGATTAAGAAAACCTAGGAGGAGTGCTTAGTTCTGCTCCTGCTCTAAAAATGCTGCTGAGCAGCAACAGCAGCCAGCACAGCTTCATCCTGCTCAGCCCTCCATGTGATCCCTTCCAAGGGCTGGGGCAGCGGCGATTTCGTATGCGCGGTTTGATGTGATCCGGGAGCAGGGAATGGCAGGGTGTGTGCTCAGCTTCCCAACGCTGCAGGAGAACCAGAGAGGAGCTGAACCAGGAGCAGGGAATGACACGGCCCATGCTCAGCTTCCCGATGCTGCCAGAGCACCCAGAGCAGAGCTGATCTGATCTGGTTCTCACTAAGAAGGAGGATCCCTCCACAGGGACAGGGAAAGAACAACAGCAAACACAGGACAAAACACCACCATCAACCCCCAGTAGAGCCTGAACAGCCTTGCACTGCTTGGGTGCAGAGCAGACACTTATCTGCGGCTTGAGACTTTTAGAGAATCCCTTCTGAAGTTTCCCTCTTGCAAACACCTTATTTCCCTCCTCTAATCAATGCTATGAGCAAGCTTGGTGAAACACAAATAGAGAACAGAGGATGAAACAATTTTCCAGCCCATACCTGAAGGTGCATCCTTCTTTTCTCACCAAGCAGCAGGGAGGACGTTGCTGTCTCTCGGTAATTTTCCAACATCCTGTGTTGCAGGTAGATTTATGCACTGATCATAGTTGAAGCTGTTAATAAAAAAGTGCAAAGAAAACGGATTTGACTGTGAAGTGCAGGGCTGCTTTTCTCCCAGCTTTGCATTATCATGACTTCCTCCTTTTTTAATCTTTTTTTCTGTGATTGACCATGTTTGGGGTTCAAAGCTTCAAAAATAAATCGCGGATCGTCTTTCATCTACTATGCATGAGAGAGTCAGAATCATTACATGGTTTAAATGGATATTTTGGGAGCAACTCTGGACCAAGCAGTTCCTGCTTTAACTGGGAGCCAGAGGGATGAAGCTAATTTGCAAATAATGTTACATGCTGGTTTTGCTTGAACGCAGGGAAAAGCTGCAGTGGCTACTTGTCATTCTTTGTGAGAAATTGAACAAAATGGAAATCAGTTCACTAGTTAAAAAAGAAATATATATATATATATTAAAAAAACCTGCAGCAGACCAATTTCTCCCGCATCAGGGGAACATCCCAGGACTGCAATTAAGCTGTGGCTCAGCACGAACCCTACAGCTGCCTGAGCACTGAGGACAAACACACCGGCCGTCCTTTTCCTGGGAGCAGGTTTTTAATTTGGTGAACTGCGAGCTTTTCCACAGTTCCACTTGAGCCACTTCTTCCTCAGGCAGTTCAGAAGTCAACTTTCCCCTTCAGCATCACTCAGGCCTTCCCCCAGGAGCAGGGAGCTCTGGATTCTGCTGCACTGCACCTTCACAGGCAATCACCTATCGATGACTTTGTGGCTAATGTCTACAAGGGGAAGCAGAGGAGCTAATATAATGTAATTTTCCATGTTTACTGCATTATTACAGTGGTTGAATCTGCTGATTAGTTCCCTTTTTTTTTTTTTGCCATCTCGTCCTAAGCATCCCTTTTATTTTTGCCCTGCTTATCTGCATAGAGTCATTTATTCACATGGCTGCTATAACAGCAAGCAGGGCCAAAGCTATCATTTCTCCTCCCTCTCACATTTTAATCTTGCAGACCTCAATCTCTGTGATACTGCTATTATTTTGTCCATATCTGATCTAACGGGAACCTGCCATTATTCTTTTTTTTTTTTTTGCCTTAAAAAGAGAAAACTAATCTGAGCAAAAGATCATGGTGGCTGTGGCACTAATGATCCCTGGCATACCTCCTTGCAATGAATCCAGTGCTGGAACAGAGAATGTTTGTTTCCCTTCTCTCTACAGAGCTGCAGGACTGACCCCTCATGCACAGGCAGCTCCCACGAATAAACAACATTGCCCCAATCTCCTGGGGGATCCATTTCTCTGCCAACTATCTCAGCAGCTCTTCTTACTGTCTTATTTATCCAAACAGTGGAAAAACAAGTCAAGAGGAGCCACTCTTCAACAACATGACTGTTACTGGTTTATTCAGATTTGCTCCCCTACAAGCTAGGGATGGGGCTCTTGCCCCAGAGGTTATTAACTGAAAGGAGAGTGAGGAAATTTCCTGTAATATGAACAATAACAGAAAAAATGCTCTTCCTTCCTGTTCTTTGAGGATCATGGCAAGGCATTTCAACCCCTGGGCTCCCTAATGCTTCCCCCCTCCCAGCTCTGAGTGTCATCCCAACTGGAGACCATCCACTGAAGCACCAAGCCAAGATGCTCTGCACATGCCAACCAGCCAGAAAGGATTTATTTGGGAGAGGCAAGGAGACAAATTCAGGGATCCCTCTACTCCCTTCTCCTGCATCCCAAGGCTTTTCAAACAGTGGTGGCTCCCTCAGTGTTCTCACTTCATATCCACAATCTGAGCCCTCACTGTGGTTTGTACCCAGGCCATGCTCTTCACCTCTGTCCAGAGACCTCCATGTGCCCTCCCTTCTCCCAGGAATATTATAAATAAATCAGGGGCTACGTTCAGCTCCTAGTCTGTGATGCAAGCAGGGATGTGGAACTGTTCAAAGACAAACAGCACAGGCAGGGCACAGGGTCTTGCCTATCCCCTGTCCTGGATTTACACAGATGAGACTTCTGGAAATCAAATTGAGCCCTTCCCCACATCCTCTGCTGATGTGGAAAATCCCTTGCTCACAGAACTCACAGCTGCCCAAGCTGTAGCACTGCAGGACCCTGAGCATTTCTTGGTCTGCATGCACCCCAGCATGTATTGTATTCACTGTTAATGAAAGATTAAATGTGCCAAAGAGCAATATTAATTTTAAAGCTACTAATAATCATCAGCTGTCCCTCACTTCACCTCACAAGCCTGAGAGCTGCAATGAAAGAGCAAATTCCAGCTCAGAGCATCTGTAAGCTCTGGTCCACAGCCCAGCTCAGCAGCTCAAGGTCTCACAGGCATTTTCAACAAGTAGTGAGGACCCTCAAAGATCTTCTAATGTGAACAACCATAAATAATCAGAAATGGCAAAAAAATAACTCTGTTACCCTTGTATTTGAAAGTCAGGACTAGAAAAAGCCTCCCAGCTCTGCAACACCAATTTGACTTCTCTGCGCCAGTCTGCACCCCTGTGATCATCCCAGGAGCCCAGGTTTGCTCAGCAGCAAACAAAAGGTCACAAACAAAGTCACAGTAGTTATTAGATGGTGATAATTTAGTTCCAAGAAAGTCTGCATTTCCAAATGTGCCTCTTGCCCTCCTCCTCCTTGGGAAAATGCAGCTCCTTGCAGGAGCAAGAGCCAAAGAAAAGTCACAACAGACCCATCCCAAACCAGTTCTCATAGGACAGGAGTGTCCATAGGATCACACAACACCCACCTCACCTCCCAAAAGTGGCATCTGCTCCCACCAGAGGTGCCCCATCAGCACCAAAGCAGGGCCATTTCTGCCCTGGATCCTCCAGGCACTCACAGGACGAGCAGAGCAGGAAGGAGCAGCCCAGGCAGGGGCTCTGTGTGTCAGAGGGGCACATGTGCAGGGACAAAGCATCCTTTGCACACCAGCAGCCTCCCTGCTGCCTTGGCACATCAGCACTGCTGGTGAATCACATCTCCTTTGTATTTCACTTGGAGGAACAGGGAGAAAGACGTATTTCACAGAGGAGAGTCACAAAGAGGCCCACCTAGGAAAATGGGTTATTTTTGGCACTAAAATCCCTTTCCTGTGAAGAAGACAGGGAGGCCCAAGAGACTGAAGGAGCTGCTGAAGTCCAGAGAGGAATCTGGTAGCAGAGCCTGGGGCATAATTCAGATATTAGGGACCAGCAATCAGGACTAAAATCCACATTTAAAGACTGCAGACCTGTGCTTCACCACCTGCTTGCCCACCAACCCTGCTGTGAGCCATGCCAGAGCAAGAAGGTAACCAGGAGCACTCTGCTTGCTTCCACAGACCTTTCCCAATCATGCAAAGACCTGGCTCTTCATTTGAGTGCTAATTCTCACTCTCTTTCAGCCCAGTTTTTTGCAGCTTTTCCACAAATCCAGAATACATTTGAGCGCTCAGCACAATGCTCAGTGAGAAAATCGTATGCCACATTTCCGCTTGGCATGATTTTGAAATGGTTAAGCTGTTAAGCCCTGAAAGGGAAGTTTTAAGAATACTGTGAATAAAAGAAGCCAAAAACAAAAATAAACCAACAGCAGCAAAATTAGAGCATGGCATAAAGGAACCATTTGGATGGATCCTTTTTTCCCCCAGAGAAATGGCGCACGCTGGCTGCTCCAATGTCAGGATCTCTGCAGTTGTGTAGCACTTGGACTTTCATTACAATGGCAGAGAAATAAATGTGCATCACTAGCACACAGGAGAGAGAGGAAGTTTTCCTAAGCTGTCATCAAATCCTTTACAAACTTCTCCAAATGGCCACATGATCATTGAGGGTCCCTTTACCCCACTCAGTCCCAGCAAGGGAGATGCCATCAGAGCAGGAAGGGGATTCTTGATGCACACATGAGGACAGGCAATGCTCCAGGGTGGGAAACTCCACCTAGAAATGCTTGTATATCCCCATTTTCCAGATAAACTCTTCCAAGGAGAAGCAAATCCTGCCCCAATGTGTGTGTGTCACACAACACAACCCCAGTGATGCTGCTCTAAGGAGAGCAGGTTCTGCCCAGAGGGTTCTGTGGACAGGGGGGGCTCCTCACCTTCAGCCAGCCCAGCCCACAGTGCAGTGACAGCTGGGTGGCCCCTGTGTGTCCCCTGTGTCACTCAGAGGTCCCTCCTGAACTGTGCCTGGCTTTGCTGCTGTGCACAGACTCAGTGATTTGTGCAGCCGCTTACTGGGCTGAAGGACACAGCTCAACCACTTTACACTGATTTTTGTCACAAAATGTGATACAATGCCGGATCAAAAGACCTCCCAGAATCCGTACATGTGACAGTGTCCCACTCCAGCTGTGATACAAAGCATTAAGGTAATGACAGCTGCATTCATGCCTGCTACTTTTAGGTCCACCCAGCCCAGAGCAGCTGAGAGGAACAAGGGCTCTCTCTTCCTCCCACTCCAGCCTCCCCTGAGCCACTGTGAAGTGTTTGCTAATCAAAGAGCTCCTGCAAGAGAGCCCTCCCACCCAGGAGGGCCTGGATCAGAGACATCAGGTCAGGTCATCCACAAAGGTAATGGTGGGGCAAACATCATTCCTGAGCACATCCATGTCTGTGCCCATCTGTGCAGGGGTCAGGCACGCTCTGGGTAAGGGCATCTCCTGTCCAGCTCTGTGCCCTGACCCAGCTTCAGCTGGGAGTGACAAAGCAGAGGAACAAACAGCCAAACCCAGCCCTTTCCCCACGCCCCACAACTTCTCCAGCTCAGGTCCTCGCTCCTCCTCCTTTCTGAAGTGCCAGAGGATCTCACACTGGGTCTGCAGCCACAGGATGAAGCCCTTGAGCTGCACCCCAAATACCTCTGCTCCCCCTGAAGGCAGGGACTGAGCAGGCAGCCCACCCCCCATATCCACCCTGGGAGGAGTTCTGAGACTTGTCCAGACACAGTCAACATCAACCTGAGACTGGCAAAAGTCCTGCTTCAAAAAAGAAACTGAGCTGCACAGTCCCAGAGTCCTCCCCTCCTGGTTCACCTTCCTCCACAATCCTGA